GGTGCTGTGCGCGGCTTGTGGGCACGTCAGCACGGCCCCGGCCCAGCTCCGGCGGGAGGGAGCGGTGTCCTGAGCCAGAGAGGGCTGGACACGGCACGGCGGCTGCGGTCCAGGGAGGTACCGGTACCCGAGGTGGGTGGTGGGATGGACACTGGTAATCGCGGTCTGCAGGCACTGCTGTGTGGGGGAGATACTCCTCTGCCTGCACGCGTTATCTCGCACGGGGAAAAAATTGCCAGTGAGTTTTGTTGCAGCTGTGGTGGGAGCTCTGGGACAACCTGGCTGTGGGGTCCTGCTGGGGGCAAGACAGCTCCAGGCAGCCTCTGCCTCCTGCCTTTGCTTGGCCCGTTGGCAAAATGAGGGCAAACGGTGTCTTCGCACTGTGCAGGGAGAAGGTGAGGATCAGGACTAGCACAGAGAAGGGGACAGAGTGGTGATGGGCTCACGTGAAGATGGGTCCAGATTGACCCACGTGATTTTGCATCCCTGTCGGGTGCAGCACGTCCCAAGGACGGGCAGTGTCCGCTGGGGAGGTACCGGGGCAGCTCCCGACCATGCCAACCCCTGGTGCCGGGTCTGGGCGCAGAGAAGGTTTGGGCAGCCGGGGGATTGTTGGAGAATGGGGTTGCGTTATCCATCCTGCTTGCTGACCTGGTGCTGGAGGATAGCACCCCGAATTCACAACCCTGAAGCACACACTTCTGTACCCGCAGCCTCTCATGGAAGCAAAACTGTCGAGTTTGCTGGGATAACCCCCCCGAGCAGCTGCCAGCGCCGGTAAGTCATGGCAGGCTCTGACTCATGGCAGGGTTTTGGTTTTGCACAACGCATCCTCAGTGGCATTGAGAGCTTCGGGGTGATGGCCGGGGTGAGCGGGGCCACGTGGAGCCACATCTGGGGGTACAGGGGAGCCCCTGGCTGCCACAAGGGCTGGTGGGCCCAAAACCAGCTTTGCCAGGATGGTGGGGCTGAGGCAGCCAGGATCTGGAGGAGGGAGCTGCCATTTTCAGGTGGTTACTTTTAGAAGCAGAAGTGCAGGGTAAAATCTCCTCCAAATGTTGCTGAATCTGGAGCCAAATCTCTTGGCGGCTCTGCAGTGCTGGGTATCGGCTTGCTATGAGATTTTTTTCCCCTTGAGCATCCTGCATCCTGTGTGTCTTTGGGATAGAGAGCGGCGGCAGCCTGGCAGGGGGTACCTGATGCCCTGACGATGTGTCCTTCCACCTTGAAAAGTGTCCTGGGTGCCAGCTGAGGGCTCTGGGGATGGGTCTCGGTGGTTGGGGCGATGCTGAGGTCTCTGTGTCCCCATTCCCCACTGCAGGCGCCGGTGAGGCTGCGGCTGTGAGCGCTCATCCCTTCTCCACCGTTCCTGCCCACCGCTGGTGGGTCTCCGGCACTGCGCAGCCATGACGACCTCGGCGCTGCGCCGGCAGGTGAAAAACATCGTACACAACTACTCGGAGGCAGAGATCAAGGTGCGGGAGGCCACCTCCAATGATCCCTGGGGACCCCCCAGCTCCCTGATGTCAGAGATCGCTGACCTCACCTTCAACACGGTGGCCTTCGCCGAGGTCATGGGTATGATCTGGCGGCGGCTGAACGACAGCGGCAAGAACTGGCGTCACGTCTACAAAGCCCTCACTCTCCTGGACTACCTCATCAAAACCGGCTCCGAGAAGGTGACCCACCAATGCCGGGAGAACCTCTACACCATCCAGACGCTGAAGGACTTCCAGTACGTGGACCGGGACGGCAAGGACCAGGGCATCAACATCCGGGAGAAGGTGAAGCAGGTGATGGCGCTGCTGAAGGCCGAGGAGCGGCTGAAGCAGGAGCGGGCGCACGCGCTGCAGACCAAGGAGCGCATGGCCCTCGAGGGCATGGGCAGCGGTAGCCACCAGGCCACCTAAAAAAAGGCTCACTGTGGGGTGGAAGCCAGCGTTGCATTTGGTGTGCACCCGCCTGGTGCCCATTGTTCCCCTTTACTTTTTGCCTGGGGGGGAGGTAGTGAAGCTCGGCTTCATCCTGTGCCACAGGCAGAGGTTTGACTGGGCCAGTGGTGAACTCCAAGAGCGCTGGCAGCTGGAGGTGCCCCGAGCCATAAACCCATGTCTCATTTGCGGTGGGGAGCTGCAATGTGGGGCTAGGTCCCTTGGGGCAGCCAGGCTGCGGGTGTTGGGATGGGGCCTGGGGGAGGCTGCTGATATGCTCCCCAAAATACCTCGTTCCTGATGTCACGCCTTCACCTTTTCCTCTTTTATCTCCCAGCATCATCCTCATCCCCACGGTTTGCGTCTGACCTGGAGCAAGCGAGGCCCCAGACGACGGGCGAGGAGGAGCTGCAGCTACAGCTCGCGTTGGCCATGAGCCGGGAGGAGGCGGAGAAGGTAGGGTGGCTCTGGTGGCTCTGCCTGCCCCGGGCTGCGCCAGGCCGAGCATCGCCCTGCACCTTGCCTTGTCTGTGGGCATGGTGGGTCATTTCCCTGGGAGGAGGGAGGATTTTGGGGACTGCCCGAGGCCGGTGCATGCACCCGCAAACTGCACGTGCTGTGACCGGCATCCAAAATCGACAACAGGCAGGGGGAGGCACGGGCTGTCCCTGATCCCTGTCCTCGTACCAGTGGGGACAGCACCAGGCTGAGACCCATCCAGCCTCCCAGACCTGAGGGTGAATTTTGGGGGGGGTGTGTGTCTTCTGCATTCACCACAGCCCCCCCAAACCTGGCTGCCCTCTTCCACCGAGGGCTTCTGGTCTAAGCCCCCCCATTTCTCTTGCCAACCTGCAGAGGTTTTAGGAGGCGATGCCTTGCCCAGCACTGTGGTTTGTATGGTGGGTGGGGGGCCAGCAGCATCCCCAGGGCTGTGCACCGGGCTGGGGGCTCACTGGGGCCGGGTGCTCCCTCCCACCAGCCGGTCATTTCAAACCAGGCTAGAAGGATCACTGGAAAACAGCACCAGGAGCAGCCAGGCAGGGATGTGGACAGCGAGTGAGCTGCTGTCCCTGACCGTGAAACCTCCCCCAGGGCTGTCCTCTCTCCTATCTGCTGGCCATGGTCCCTTTTCCACCAGGGACGGTTTATTTGCGCACCGGCTGCGATTGCCACCGGCTGGCACGGCCCGTGTGGAGCACACGGGTACAGCCAGGCACACAAAGTCAGAGGGACGTGGTGACCCAGGGGGCTGTGTACCTGGGCCGGCGGGTGTCCCCCCTGGGGCTGGCACTGAGCCCCATGAGCTCGGTCCTGCTGGGGCAGGGGACGTGCTTCGGAAACG